TGAAATCTCAGATTCTCATACTTGATCCCTTACCATCTATCAACAAAATTTTCTCCATGATTCTCCAACATGAGCGCCAGAGTATTCCTAACCTTTCTGATGATTCTAAGGCCCTCATCAATGCCACTGAGTCAAAGAAAATGCATCAGAAAACTAGGAGACTTTATACCAGGTCCAAACCTTGTATTTTCACTTATTGCAACAGGACTGGACACACTATCGAGACTTGTTACAAGAAGCATGGTCTGCCTCCTCATTTACAGAGATCTACTTCTTTCGGTTCTCATGACATTGCAAGTGAAGCTAGCACATCTGCAATCTCTGATACAACACATGACAACAAAAGTACTCCTCTTTCTCTGACCCATGAGCAATATGAGAAACTTATCCATCTAATTCAAGGTTCTGGTTTCAATCAACAACTTGGAATGGTTGCTTCTAATCAGGTTCACTCAATTCCTTCAGTTGGTCATACACCAGGTGATCCTCCAGGTAAATTTTCTGTTCACAGTGTGTCTATTTTTCATTCTTCAATTCATAACACAAATCTTGGCTCTTGGATCATTGATTTAGGGGCCAGTCATCACATATGCTCATCACTACACTGGTTTCATTCTTATAATGAAATCACTCCAATGATCATAAAGTTGCCTAATGGTCAGCATACCGTCACAAAATTCATGGGCACTGTCACATTTTCCCCTGGTTTTACTATTTTAAATGTCCTCTACGTGCCTGAATTTAATGTCAATCTGGTTTCTGTTTCTGAATTGTGCCATAATTTAAATTGTTTGGTGTCTTTTGCTAGTTTGAAGTGTCTTATTCAGAAACAGAAATCCCTGAGGATGATTGGTTCAGCTGAGAGACTTGATGGATTATACTACCTTATCATGACAAACAAGGAACCTACCTCAAGCATAAACACTCTTCACATACCAGATAGTGCCTTGTGGCACTTTAGACTAGGGCACCTTTCACATTCTAGATTGTTAATCTTAAGAGATCAGTTTCCCTTTGTTATTAGTGATAAAGATGCAATATGTGACATCTGTCATTTTGCTAAACATAGAAAATCTCCTTTTTCTTATAGTACAAGCAAGGCTTTAAATCCTTATGATCTTATTCATTTTGATATTTGAGGGCCTATTTCAACTCCATCCGTTTGTAACTATAGCTATTTTCTAACTGCTGTGGATGACAATACTAGATACACATGGATAATTTTGATGAAACATAAAAGTGAAACAAGAGAACATGTCAAAAATTTCATCAAACAAATTGAAACCCAATACAACCACTCTGTTAAGGTTGTTAGAACTGATAACGGACCTGAATTCCTTATGCCTACTTACTACACCTCTAAAGGAATCATCCACCATACCATTTGTGTTGAAACCCCCCAACAAAATGGGAGAGTCGAACAAAAACATCAACATATCCTAAATGTGGGTAGGGCACTCCTTTTTCAATCAAAATTACCCAAACAGTTTTGGAGTTATGATGTGTTCATAATAAATAGAGTGCCTAGCAAAATTCTCCAAAACAAGTCTCCATATTACCTTATACACAATCAACTTCCTGACCTTCACTCCTTAAGAGTTTTTGGATCCCTTGTGTATGCTTCAACTTTACAGTCTGGCAGAACTAAGCTAGACCATAGAGCCAGGAAATGTGTGTTTCTAGGTTACAAGGTCGGAGTGAAAGGAGCCATTCTATATGATTTGCACAACAGAGACATTTTTGTTTCTCGAAATACAACTTTTCATGAGCACATTCTTCCATACCAGTCCCCTCATAATAACAATCAGTGGACATATCATTCACCCAGTCCCTCGACTACTGAATCGGACCATTCTACTGTCCATGACTCACCTTTGACAATTAATCCCAACCAATCCTATACATCCTCACCTATCCAATCTGAGTTAAATGTTGGCTCATCTCCCAGTCCAACAAACTCAGTGAGGCAGAGAAAACCTCCCTCCTATTTGCCTGGTTATGTGTGTGATACTCCATCAAGCACCTCAGCTTCCCTAGCCATTTCAGGTAGTTTATATCCTATTTCTTCTTTTCATTCACTTACACATTTGTCTTCTTCTCACAAGGCATTCAGTATGTCTATCACACACATCACTGAGCCACAATCTTATTTAGAGGCAACCAATTCACCTTGCTGGTTAAAAGCTATGAATGCTGAATTAGATGCCCTTCACAAAAATGGGACTTGGATTCTTGTTGATCTTCCTTATGGAGTGAAACCTATTGGTAACAAATGGGTTTACAAGATCAAGTATAAATCAGTTGGCACCGTTGAGAGGTATAAAGCCCGACTCGTTGCAAAAGGCTATAATCAAGTGGAAGGTCTTGATTTTTTTTGATACTTTCTTGCCTGTAGCAAAGCTGACCACAGTAAGAACTTTACTTGCAATTACAGCAATTCAAAATTGGCACCTCCATCAATTGGATGTGAATAACGCTTTCCTCCACGGAGACCTTCAAGAAGATGTTTATATGACTGTTCCAGAAGGCGTGAAAGGATCAAAACCTAATCAGGTTTGCAAACTGTTGAAAAGTTTGTATGGTCTCAAACAAGCAAGTCGTAAATGGTACGAGAAGTTAACTCACTTGTTGCTTCAGGAAGGCTACACTCAATCTACTTTCGACTATTCTTTATTTACCTTAAACAAAGATAATTCTTTCATTGCTCTTCTAGTATATGTCGATGATGTGATTCTTGCAGGGAACTCTTTAAAGGAATTTAAAAGAATCAAACTCATCCTTGACGAAGCTTTCAAAATAAAAGATCTTGGTCAGTTGAAGTATTTTCTTGGACTAGAAGTAGCTCATTCAAAGGCTGGAATCACAATTTCACAAAGGAAGTATTGTTTGGATCTACTCAATGATTCTGGTCTGCTTGGTTCTAAACCGGCATCTATTCCCCTTGATACTTCAGTCAAGCTGTACAATGATGATTCAACACCGCTTGAAGATATTTCTTCATACAGAAGATTAGTTGGCAAGCTTCTTTACTTGAACACAATAAGGCCAGATATTATTTTTGCCTCACAAACTCAGTCAATTCATGCACTCACCTACTGCTGTACATTACAAGGTAGCATGTAGAGTTGTCAGGTACCTCAAACAGAATCCTGGCCGTGGCATTTTATTTGACAGAAACTCTGACCTGCAAATTCTTGGCTACTCGGATGCAGACTGAGCAGGTTGTTTGGACATACGACGTTCCATTTCTGGCCATTGTTTTTTTCTAGGCAAATCCTTGATATTCTGGCGTGCGAAGAAACAACCCACTGTGTCAAAGTCCTCTTCTGAGGCAGAATATCGAGCCTTATTGTTCGCTGCTTGTGAAATACATTGGTTGTTATATTTACTTAAAGACTTAAATGTGTCGTGCACCAAGATTCCCTTATTGTACTGCGACAATCAAAGTGCAATCCATATAGCGTCAAACTCGGTCTTTCATGAAAGAACAGAACATTTGGATATTGATTGTCACCTTGTGCGTGAGAAAGTGCAAAAAGAGATACTTAAGCTTATTCCTATCTCATCCTCTGAACAATTTGCGGATTTTCTCACAAAAGCTTTGCCTCCACCAAAATTTCACTACTTCATTTCCAAACTCAACATGATAAATATTTATCATGCTACAGTTTGAGGAAGGCTATCAAAATTATTGTTATATTCTAGTGGACCCCTTTGGTTCACATTTTTTTCATGCTTGTAGGGTAATTATAATATGCACAAAATGTATGCCTAGGTGGCTATATATATATTTCTTTGTACCTTTTCCTAATCATCAATCAATGAAGAATATTCCTTTTCTTTTTAAGTTACTTAATATGACAATAATTTTGATACATAATTTTGATACATAATTGAACCAAAGGGGTCCACTAGAATATAACAATAATTTTTATACATAATGTGAGATTAGGTTTCCATGATTTTTAAGAATGATTTATTTATATAATAGTATAAATATTAATAATTATTTTCACACCTCTATACTTTCTTTGAAACCCTTGATGAAATAAAGATTCAATAATCATTTATTTATTAAAAACAAAAAAGGTTTTTTTACGTCAGACTAGATGCTTATAAATAATTTAATTTCGACTTGATATTAAGATTGAGTTTACAAAGAAGGTGTTTGAGTCAGACTAGATGCTTATAAATAATTTAATTTCGACTTGATATTAAGATTGAGTTTACAAAAAAGGTGTTTGAATCAGACTGAATGCTTATAAATAATTTAATTTCGACTTGATATTAAGATTGAGTTTACAAATAGGTGTTTGAGTCAAACTAGATGCTTATAAATAATTTAATTTCGACTTGATATTAAGATTGAGTTTACAAAGAAGGTGTTTGAGTTTGTATATGATTATGTTGGATGGTTCAAAATGATAGAATTTGTTTAAACTATACGCTTGAACCTTCTGTATTTGTGCTTATTTTTAAGTTTCTTCCATTTTCTATTTTCTTCAAGGGTCAAGGGACACTGTTGTGACCAAAGAATAAACATTTTAATTGAAAATTTTGTTTGATTGTTGCAGGATAAATTCAAAGCAAGATAGATGCAGAACAGGGTAGATGTAGAGCAGTGATTCACCAATGGCAGTATTATTTAAGCAATGTAGCACATAAATAGAAACAAGAAAAGGCAAAAACATAAAATAAATAAATAAAAAACTCTCTAAATTATAATGTTGTAAACTAATTTTGATGAAATTGAAGATTATTACACATTTCTATTTGACATTGTTGTACAAAAGAAATATGGATCTCTGAAATATGAACCAATTCCCTAGAACTTTTGTAGGTTAGTTCTAAACAACAGTTCATGCTCCAGAACCCAGACTCCATTCAACGCCTGAAATTTATTAACTAAGAGAGCATGTTTTGCAAAAACAACATTCAGGACTCATGATAAATCAAGTTTAGATTACATCAAAACATAAACCGCTATGATATCTTTTCTACTACTTAGTTGTAGGATGATCTCCAAACTTCCTTTCCTCTGATTTTGTGAATGGGTCCTGGAAAATACAATAGAAGAAGTTAATCTCAATCGTGTGACAATATTTTTTTTAAAAAGAAAGCCATGATATTATTGGATAGGAGAAACATAACTCAACCTCAAAACATTAGAAAATAAACCAATCAAAAAAGCAAAGTAACTTTTACAAATGCTTTTTCTTGGAATTTGGTTTTCAATAGTCTTGGTTATGTCCATCTAAGCAACCTCAGCGTGGCAGAATGACCATTTTGTTGATGTAATTGTAAAGTGGACAATCCCAAGTTTGGCTTTGGCCAATGACAGTGAAATAAAAACATGTTGGAGCAAAAAAAAAAATCATAGACAAAATGATTGATTTGGGAAACCTCGCACATTTCAACTGGTAAAAGATTAAGATACCAACACAACACTTCTTAAATTCGGATTGGGCCAAACTTAATCTTGCAAAACCAACTTCTTAACATTTGAATTTGACCTAACTCAATCATTGGAAAGTGTCTTATAAATTTAGGATAGGAGCTCAATGACCCCAATGGTGTAAAGGAATAAAGAAATTCGAATTCAAGTCCTTGCATTCAACATTCATGACTAAGCTAGACAAAACTTTCAAAAGAAAAGGATAGAATTGAACAACATAAAATAAAGAACTAAATCAAACATGGTTCTTTTGTATAATCTTCTAAATTCTAATGTTATTATCGTCTCAGATTCCGGAGCTAAGTTAATTCTTCAGAGGAAGAATACCGTTAGAGAACAAACAAATACATTTATCCATAAATCCATAAGGCAGAAGCAAGAATTACATATTCTATGGGGACATATCATAAAATTGGATAGATCAACAAAACCCAAATTTTCAATTTAAAGCAAAAATCAAACGGAATTAAATGAACATGATTCATGTCAGATTTTTTTTACTATAGCAGATAACATAATGAAATTGAAAACTACCCACCCAAATTACACAAACAAGTCTCTAAATCCAACCCATCACCCCAAATGAAATTGATTAAATTCCTGAAAACCCAGATCATAAATCAGCATTTAAATCCATAAAAACTAATCCTTTTTAACAAATATAAAACAGGATGAATTAACGGCACAAACGAGTCGGAAAGAATAGAGAGGAAGGGAATTACATTCTTGACCAAGATGAAGTTAGCGACGGCGACTGTGGCCACTACGCCAGCGAGGATGGCCGTCGGACCTGTAAGGAGACTCCACTTCCGATAGATCATCTTTTTCTTCTTCTTAATTCTTCTTCCGATTTCGTTCTATTCCCCCAATGAAATTGAATTGGGGCTTTTGTTATTCTATTTTATTTGTCTGACCCAATATATTTGTATTTTTAGAAATTAAGCAAAATAGATCCTATATATGTTAAATAATCATCTCGCTGTCAAAAGTAATAATACTAAATAACTTTATGACATTATTTTCAGTCTATTTTTTATAAATTTTTACATATAATTAAATTTTATTTTTATATTCAGATTTAAACAAAATTTAATATAATAATATTAATAAAATTATATATATTTATTTTAATACGTCAATTACATAGGCTTAAAAAAATTATTATTTATAATTTAACTATTTAATAAAATTAACGATGAATAGAGTGAGAGTCTTTTTTGATCTTTTAGTTTTTATTTCTTTTTAGGTTATTTGAATTAATCTTTTAGTTTATAGTTTTTACTGTCACTTTTTTTTCTATTTATACTCTTATTATTTTAATAAAAATTTATTTATACCTTCAATTTGATATTATATATCTGCTATATTTATTCATACCTACAGTCTTTTATATATATAGTCAACTCACAAGATAAAAGAAGATGCAATTTACATAATAAATTCAAAATAATGATAATTTTCAAAATAGTAAAATATCGAAGAAGAATAATCGAAATCAATTAATCGAAGAAAATTTAAAATATCATTGCAATTTTATTGTAAAATATTATAAAATAAAATTATTATTTATTTTAGATTAATACAACTTAATTCAAAATTACAATATTATTAAATTTCATTAAAAAATATATCTATATTGATGCTAACCTTAATTTTTCATATATATTAAAAATGTTTTGTATGTTTTTATTAATTATTTTTATTAAATAAAAAATAATTTAATAATATAATTTAATAAAATAATAAAATCACTAATTTCTTAATTTAAAATGTTCTATTTTGTCCTTATCAATAGTAAATTTAACAAACATTATTAGTCATCGATTAGGTTATCTGCTATCAATTATTAGTTATCTGTGAAACATAGTCTAATTCAACATATGTACTATTTAAATTAAATTAATATAAGTGGTAGTGAACAATAAATATCCAAAACAACATTTATTTATATTTCTTTATATTAACTCGTAAACAAAATTTTGACTATTTAATAAAATAAGTTTATAAAAAAATTAGAATGTTTTCTATTAAAAAAATCAGAATTAGTCTAATCTGTATAGTGGCGTGACTTATTTTCATATATCATTTGTATAAAATAATTTCAAAAATATTTAAAATAACTTATACTATAATATTGAATAATCTAAGTATTAAGTTAAATCACAAAAATATTTTAAATAACTTGTATGAGAGTGATAAGTTGTTGGTTTTTTATTAAACCACGTTGTCACCCTATTAAAGGTTTAAATTCAAAATTAATTTATACGTATATTCATTTTTTTTTCTTTAACTTAATTGTTTTTCATGAGTTACTTTCTAAATTTTTCTATTTTGAAATATAAAAGTAATATGATACCTAACATTCATTTAAACTATTGTATTTATAATTTTATCATTTGTTGTAAAATTATTTAAATCCCTGGTTAAAAGAAAAAAAACCGCATAAATTTCATGTAAGTTTGTAACAACAGCAATCACAATTCAATAAGAACAATATCAAACATTATAAATAAAACTTATGCATAATCACAAGATATAAAATAAAATAGATATACAATCAAGCATACTTAAGAAACCGACAGAAAAATAGGTTAGTGAGTGTTTTTCCCGTGGTAAAACAGAAACTATAAGCAAATAAAGGAGAAATTTCGTAACAGTTTCATATTGCATTGCATGATACCTATTCTCCTTAGCAAATTTTGTATAATGTTGTCTTGTTCTTTTTAAATAGGAAAACAAGAGCTTTAAATCAATCCTTGTAGATTTGTGGCCCACGCCCTAAAAATATTGCATGCTTTTCAAACTCTATTTCAAAAATAAAATCAATGTGTGTGCTCATATCCAAAATAATTTCGATTAAGCAAACAAAGTTACAATGACAAGAATTCGTTCCAAGAATTTTACTTTCCAGAGAGACACTTGAGAATATATATCGCCTAAAGAGTTCATAAAGCTTAAACAATCTTCACCTTTCAAGATCTAATACTAAGTAGTAGTAAACCATTTGCCTACAACAGATTTTTCACCTACAACAGATTACTATTGACAATAAACGAGTTAACTTAGAATAATTTTAAATCGGGCTTTACAAGTTGCAATGGCTTCTTCGAAGAATGTCAAGTTTATAATGTGCAGCAACAATGGTTATCACTACTAGTGCCGGGTCATGCTCTCACCAAGGTCTTCCTATCCCGGTAAGCCTGCGCGTCAATTCAATATCCTTTTTCACTGAGATAGCCAAAAAAATCAAATAACAGATATTAGTAAGGTAGGTGCTAAAAAAAATTATTTTTGAGGGAAAGTTATAATAAGCAACTTATACACAGGAATAAAATGATCTTCCGCAAAATATCCACTATACTAGCTAAACAAACAACTACACTGCTGCAATTTTCCACTTTCTGGCCATAGAACATCGGAAAATCAGAGGAAAAAAATAGAAAATTGAATCAACTTACTAAGGGTAACACGCTTTGCATGAAGTGCGCAGAGCCATCCAGCTTCAAACATTCGAACTAGGCAATCCTCAGCTGCCTACAGAATTTTCATTGTTAAGAGCTAGTTAAGAATAGCACACAAATTAAGAATTACAATTAATATAAAATTCTTCATTAAATTCTTATTATGCCCTTTTCCTCTTTAACCACTGCTTATCACACTTTTCCCTTCCAATTATCAGAATTATACGTCAGAGAGAAAAGAGTGATGAGAGAAATTGATGAGTGTGAAAATAATGTGTATTGTGTTCTAATCTCTAGAGCTTAAGTCCACCTATATATCAAGGAGCAATATTTAAAATAGTAACAGAATCTGATATAGTTTGTGTACAGAATCAGATATAATTTCTGACAAGCACCTATCTGTTCACTTAGCTATTACTAGCAGTTCATTATCTAGATATGCAAGACAAGTTATCTATTATAGAATGTGATTGCATTCAAGTGATTCAGCAAACACCGAGTACTACTCTAATATACTTCTCCCTCAAGCTCGAGGAGGCTGTGTGAGGGATTACAAATCACGCATTCTGAGCTTGGATGTGAAATCAAATCATGATTCTGGTAGGTGAGAGAGATTTAGTTAGCTGGTTAACAACTAAAGATAAAGTATTAACAAGAACTTAACAACTTCAAATATGCAAAATACGAAAAACAAATTCTTGAACAAGTGCCGAGACATAAACACTAAAATTAAGTAGTCAAATTCTAGACATCTAATCAATCATCAACAAAGTGCTCGCTAATCCCACCAATCTTACAAGCAATATCGTCAACCCTGCTACCAGATTGTGATTCTGCCTATGCATAAGATAACATAGCTTGTAAGATCACAATTTTAACTATCTTGCCTGCCAGCCATATCACTTCTCTCATATTTGATATTTTCCCAAAAATATCACCTCAGCTCCTGTAACCCTTGTCGAAATGAGCTTGCTCACAACCATTAACCCGCATACTACATCCATGAGCAATAGTAAGTAGTAACATATTCCTACAATCCCCAAACACTAATATCCTTTCTTTAACAAGACACTCAAAGAGTTAAAAGAGACCTATTAAGCATACTACCATTGCTCTTCAATCACTTCAAAAACTTAACCACCTTCAAGAATCATACACCCTATCTTTAACTCCCACTCGTATCAACATTTTTCCACATCTCACAAACAACTCTTTAATTATTTCCACATGTACTTCAAAAAGCTATGTGCAATGTGAACATTGAAAATTTTCATTGAGGCTAAATTGCTAGCTCTAGAGAAGAATCAACCATGGGTTCCCGCCTTCTCTTCCACAGGTTAAGAGAGCAATAGCCTATAAATGGTTGTTCCATGGAACCATTGGAAGATATAGTGTGAATTGCTATAGGATTTAACCAAACAACTAGATATTTATTTTGAGATTTTCAGGTCATTGGTGAAAATGGCCACTGTTTGGTAGATAAGAATTCATTGCATTACAAATACAAATAAAATAACAATATTGTTATGCTCGGGGCATATAGCATGTAAAATCTCAATCTTTGATAATCAATGCACAATTCGTAAAATCTCAATCTTCAATACTCTTCTACTAATTATATAACCATATAAGAATGCACATAAAATAAATATACATAATATCATATAAGATTATAATCAAATGAATAATTATTCTAAATAACAAATTTTTAATACGTCAACAGCATATAAATCGAAGTTAAAACTAATTTTAGCGAAAACTAAAATGAATATGAAAAAAGTTACCTACCTCTTGAAGTGATAACAATGCTTCAGGCGTCCAGCGTGTAACCAATGAAGATACTTGGCTTGTAATTTCCCTGACCTGCATCAACCAGAGAAAAATCAAAATCATCACTGTAGCCGCAATTTCACAATATTTTATAGCTTAGTAATAGTAAAACCTAATTAATACTATATAACAAATGTATCTAACATTTACGCGCATATAAGTGAGAGAGCTTACACATCTTACGAATGGAGCATATGGTATAAGTAATTTGAAAGTTTTTTGGAATTTCCTGATCTCACGAAGCGCTACGGTTCCAGGTTTATTACGTCTTTTCTTCCTTTCCTGATTCTCACGTGCTGCGTAATTTTTAAGTGATTAAACAAAAAATCAACTGAGAAAGAAAATATAACTGTAAATTTGCGAATTGAAGAGGAATTAATGAATAAGCGATTGTTTTGGAGAATGAAGAAGGGGTTTTTTTGAAGTTGGAACTTACCGTGACGTGGTGTTTGTTTAACTCTTGCCATTTGATTCTGCTGCAACAAATGAACTTGAGGCAGCCGCGAATTTCAGATTTTGCTTTTTTTTTTTCTTAGCTTTTTAGCTTTAAGTTTGTGCACACAAAAAGCGACTTTGTTTTCTTTTCTGTCTCAACGGTAAATAAAGGATGGAGAGCTATAACGGTTACTTTGAAGGGCTAGTTTGGTCATTACGAAGTCAAAAACCAAAAGTGTTAAACAACTTCCGCTAAAACACATTTTCTATTGAATTACATTGTAAATCATAATCCGAGATTACATTTTCTTAAACTTTATCTCTAAAACTAAGGTTAAAATAAGATCTTTTATAAAAATAAAAATAAAATTACAAAACATGGAGAAATTTTTAAAATATTATTAATTATTTATATGTATTAAAATATTTTAAAGTATTTTTTAATAGTTTGAAACAAATAAAATAACATTTTATTACTACTCACTTAATTTATTTTTTACCGGTTCCTCTCTCCTAATCGTAATTATGGGAAATTGTATCAAAATTATGTCAATTTTAAAGTTATTCACCACTAAATTAATTAATAATTGATAATTATTTTTCTATTAAAAAAAATAGATAATACTCCTCTTTAACCACTAGTCTCTCGTCAAAATAAATAATAAATTCTATTAAAGAAGTAATCATATGAAAAAGACACGTTTAAAATAAATATAACATTAGGTTTATTTTAAAATTTAATTTATATTTTTTTAGAGAGAAATTTATTCCAAAATTATTTTTATCACTATTATTTAATTTATACTTTTAGAAATAAATATTATCATATTTTATTTTATTATTACAAATGAATTTGATAATGTTATAGTATTTTAAAATTTGAAATTGTTATTATTGTTCAAAATTTCTTAATATAGTTAATTTATTTCTTCACTGAAAATTAAAATCTTAAACTAGTCTAGTAAAAAATAAAAGTATTAGTTTAATCTCAGATTAAAAAAAAAAAACAAGAGTATCAATTAGTCCTAACAAAAACAAAACAAATACTATATTGGTTCCTTGAAAAAACAACATATTTTATGTGAAAAAAAAGTATATAAGTTTTTAATTTAATATTTAAGGACTAAACTGTCTTCCAATGTTTCTAAGCACCTAAATATCTCACATTTCTTTTAAAATCATGTGTATTGTTAAATGACACATTGATTCTCAATACAAATTATTAATTTTAATGATATTTATTTTTTTAATTTGATTAACAATTACGCGTCTATAACAAAAAATCATCCAACTACATGTCAGTGCATACGCACGGATTAATTACTAGTTTCTTTTAAAATCATGTGTATTGTTACATCACACCTTGATTCCCAAGTCATGATTAAAAAATGAGAAGAAGAAAAAATAATTGGATTAAAAAGTTGACATTGAGACTAACATGTTTCGTTTTATATTTCTAAAAAAACTAAATATTATTTTTCTTTAAAAGCTAAAATGAATTTTGAAATATTTATAAGGAGAAAAGTATTAGAGTTTGGACTAACACAACCCTACAAAATCGGTTAATAAGGTGAGGGGTGTCACTCTATATAAACTATTTCAATGCTCTATCTCCAATCAATGTGGGACTTTAGGATCTTCCTAATATATTGGAATGATAGGCCTTGCCTTTCTATTGATTTTGAATGATATATATACAACCAGGACTATTTAATGATAATAATAACAATGATATTCTAATATATCCACAATGATATCCTAATAATAATAATAATGATATTCTAATATACCCCCGTAGTCGAAACGGGAGGCTGACGAATGTTGAGACTATCACGAAAATCATCAAAGAGTTGCAACGGAAGTCCTTTGGTGAAGATGTCAGCGATTTGGTAACGTGAAGGGACGTGTAAGACCCGTACTTGGCCGCGGGCGACTTTTTCACGCACAAAATGTATATCCATCTCGATGTGTTTGGTACGCTGATGTTGGACTGGGTTGCCAGATAGGTAGACAACACTCACATTGTCACAATAGATTATAGTTGTTGTTGTGACTGGGCAATGTAGTTTTAACAGTAAGTTTCTAATCCAACAAGATTCAGATACTACATTGGCGACTCCGCGGTACTCGGCTTCGGCACTGGACCGAGAGAGGGTGTGCTGGCGTTTGGCAGATCATGAGATTAAATTGTCACCAAGATAGACACAGTAACCAGAGGTGGATCGCCTGGTGTCTGGGAAGCCAGCCCAATCTGCATCAGTGTAAGAAACCAATTTGCTGACAGAGGAGGGATGCAAGTGAAGGCCGAAATCAATAGTGTCGTGAATATACCGAATTATACGCTTCAGTGCTGACATATGTTGTGTTTTTGGGTCATGCATGAATAGGCATACCTGTTGTACTGCATAAGAGATATCGGGTCTTGTGAAGGTTAAATACTGCAATGCTCCTGCAAGACTCTGATATTCAGTTGGGTCATGATATGGATTCCCGGAAGAGCCACTGAGTTTTGCCTTGGTGTCGACTGAAGTGGGTGATGGTTTGCAAGAGGACATGCCTGCTCGTTCTATAATTTCCTCTGCATATTTTCTTTGAGACAAGAAAAGACCACCTGTATGATTGGTGACAGATATTCCCAGAAAATAACTTAGAGGATCCAAATCCTTCATGGCGAATTAAGAACTAAGTTTAGACATAATAGAGTCACGAAGAGCAACGGACGAAGTAGGGAGAATTATGTCATCCACATATAGAAGGATATAAGTAGTATCAATACCGCGATGAAAAACGAATAAGGAATGATCAGAGATGCTGTGAGAGAAACCCAATGTGGCAACATAATCATTGAATCTTTGGTACCAGGCACGAGGTGCTTGTTTTAGACCATAGAGAGACTTTTTGAGTAGACAAACATGTTCAGGATATTGTGGATCGCGGAATCCAGGAGGCTGGTGCATATACACTGTTTCATCCAGATTTTCATGCAAAAAGGCATTTTTGACATCTAGTTGGTGGAGACACCATGATTTGGATATTGCAATGCTAAGTACCATGCGAATAATGGTCGGTTTGACGACAGGGCTGAAGGTTTCACCATAATTGACACCTGATTGTTGATTAGCACCATTACCTACAAGACGAGCTTTGTATCGCTCAAAAGACCCATCAGATTTCTTCTTGTGCCTGAAAATCCACAAACTTCGAATAACATTAGCATTAGAGGGACGAGGAACTAATTCCCACATCTTATTTTCAATAAGAGCATAATATTCGTCTTTCATGGCCATTTTCCAATTAGGATCTCTTAATGCATCAATTGGATTTGTAGGCAAAGGAGAGACTGATTGGTGGGTTGATGTGTGTAGGTTGAAAAGCTTACGGGGTTTTACAATTTTGTGTTGTGACCGGGTTGTCATTTGAGGTGAATGAGGTGCAGGAGGGGAAATGGGTGTCGGAATAGGTGCGGAGGAGGTGGTAGGTGCTATTTTTGTAGATGAAGTTGTGGTTTGGGAGGGAGAATGTGTTTGATCCGTGGATGTAGTTTGTTGGGCCGAGGGGGTTGTTGAGAGGGGAGAGGTTGTTTGATGCGTGGTTGGAGGGGGGGAGTTTGTTGTGCTACTGGTGATGGCGGTTGGGTGACAGTTATGTTGGGAGAGGGGGGTGATGGAGATGTGGTGTACAAGTGTGAGGGAAGAAGGGTGATTATGCCGTCATCTAAGAAGTTATAGTTAGTCGTTATAGGAGCATTCATGGTGGAAAAGGGAAACATATTTTCCTCAAAAATGACATGCCGAGAAATAATGATTTTATGACTTGACAATTCGTAACATTTATAACCTCTGTGATTAGACGGATATCCTAGAAAGACACATGGTGTAGACCGAGGTTGGAGTTTATTCCTAGTGGTGGACGGAATCAAGGGATAACAAAGACATCCAAATACTCGGAGGTGTGAATAGGACGAATCTTTTTGGTAGATAATTTTGGTGGGTGATTGGAGAGTGAGTTTCTTATTTGGAAGTATGTTGTGTAGGTAAGTGGCCATTTGGAGAGCATGGTGCCAGAAAACCGGTGGAATAGAAGCATGAGCAAGGAGGGTTCGGATTATATTATTGATTGTACGAATTTTTCTTTCGGCTTTTCCATTTTGTGGGGAGGTATGAGGACAAGAGAATCGAAAAGACATTCCATTTTGTTCACAAAACTTATGAAAGAGAGCATTATCATATTCCTTTCCATTGTCACATTAAAAATATTTTATTTCACGTTCAAATTGTGTTTTAACGTGAGCACGGAATTGTAAGAAAATGGAATGTACTTGTGATTTGTTTGACATTGGAAAAGTCCACAAAAAATTAGTAAAATCATCAAGAAATAAAACATAGTAACGATGCCCTCCGGAGCTTAATACCGGAGACGTCCAAAGATCGCTATGAACAATGTCAAAAGGCATACAAGTAAAAGATAAGGAATTATAAATGGGCAATTTTATTTGTTTCCCAAGGGGACAAGAGTGACAAAAGAAATCATTTCGAAACTTGTTACATAGCAAAAGTTTGTTTCGATGAAGAGAATTTAAGATAGGAGCTCCTGGATGTCCTAAACGACTATGCCATAACTCGTTAGATGAAGCAGCAAAGGCGGATGGTGGTAGTGCTGTTGTGTTTGGTCTTGTGGGAATAGGGTAGAGGTCGCCAGAACTATTACATCTCATTAAAAGCATTCCTGTATGAAAATCCTTTACAGAAAAACCTAGATAATCAAATTCAACAGAAACATCATTATCGATTGTAAATTTTCTGACAGAAACAAGGTTTTTGATAAGTTTCGGTGCATGCAAAACATTGTTTAAGGTTAGGGAATTAGGTAAAGATGCATGACCACAACCAATTACAGGTATATGATGACCACTGCCAACAGTAATATTATTACTCATATTAAAATAAGATGTGAGATTACCTCCATTGCCCGTCATTTGAGAAGTCGCTCCGCTGTCCATATACCATTGATCATCAGGAGGAGAGATGGAGAA